GAAATTTGTTCTTTCGCTCAAGGTTTGTTAAGTTTCTGTCAAAATTCTCGGGAATGACCTCGGGCGAGGTTGAGCCCGAGGTAATTGAAAGACACTCAACCTCGAGCGATGTTTGGAAGAAATTTCAAACCTTGTTCGAGGTTCTAGTAGGCCTCTGAAAAATTTCCCGAGTGTAGTCTCGCCCGAGGACTTTTCCAGATGCTTAGAAACCTCGAGCAAGGATTGACATTTGAAAGTCGCTCGAGAGTTTGTGCTCTCTGTTATTTTTCTTGGGTTCGACCTCGGGCTCAACCTCAAGGTAACCTCGAGGTTGAGTCTTTTCAAATACCTCGGGCGGAACCTCGCCCGAGGTCGAACCCGAGAAAAATAACAGAGGATTAACAAGAGTGACGTTCCTTCTTCTTTTTCAACCTGCCACCACACAACTGAACTATATCAACGTAACATCTCACAGACCTCAATTTCAACAGAACAATAACAAAGGAAAATCAACAAATAACATGGAATGAAAAAAATTATAATCGGACAACGAAATCGACGGAAAAATACCTAATAGATGCATTAACATTCATGTATTCATTCATCTACACACGTGAAAACAGAATCGACGGAAAAAAACCATTCAACTCCTCAACACACAAAAAACGAAGCCCTAACCATTCAAATCGACGGAGCAATGTAAAAGAAACGAAACTTACCTCGATGATTAATCAATTTCTTTCACTTTGTTTCAACACGAATTGCCAAGAAAAAGCGGAAGCGAAAATGGAGAGAAAAGAGAGCAAACAGTTTGATTTTTTGAACTAAGGACAGTACTGTCATTTTTCCTAGGTCATTTGAGCACATTTTGAATGGGTGGGTTATTTGAGCCTCCCATAAACTTTTGAAGGTGATTTGAGTCGATATCGGTTAAAATTAGAATAATAGTTGCTGACATTTTCCTGGACCCGACGATTCGTCTCAGAGTTTTGTGTGTCGATCTGAGTCCGTGGAGAACTGAACGGAGCTCCGGCAAATTCTCAAATTCCTCGAATCTTGGGCGATATGGATTTCTCTGGAGGTGGAAACTGGAGCATGATCCCCAATATCCCCACTCTCAGCAACTCTTCTAATCTTTCCAACCAGGAATCCCTCTATCTCCAACAGCAGCAATTTTCTCTCCAGCAACAACAGCCCTTTCACCACCAACAGCAGCAATTTCAGCCCCAATTGCAACCCCAACAGTTTCAGCAGCAGCAGCCCTCCCCCCAATTTCAGCAGCAACAGCCCTCGCCCCAAATCCAGCCGCAGCAACCCTCGCCCCAATTCCAGCAGCAATTGCAACCCCAACATTTTCCCCAGCAGCAGCAACAGCAACAGCAGTATCATTTTCAACAACAGCAGCAACAGCAACAGCAGCGGCTTCTTCAACAGCAACAGCAACAGCAGCAGCAGCAGCAGCAGCAGCAGCAACAATATCATCAACACCAATCTCTGGCCTCGCATTTTCATCTATTTCACGTGATGCCTACGAAAACCCTAAATTTCAAATGTTCTATAAGCTCTGTATTTTGTATTCATTGGTATTTTTGAATGTTTCATGTGTTGAAGCTAGTGGAGAAATTAGCGGATGCAATTGAGAACGGAGCTAGAGATCAACAATCGGACGCATTGGTATAATTATCGATTTAACTTTTTTTTTTCTTCCCGAAGATCAATTATGCCATCGTTCCCTCTAATAATCGATACTGTAATTCTTGTAACGTTTTGGAAGGTCAACGATCTGAATAACCATTTTGAAAAGTGCCAGCAACTACTAAACTCGATATCTGGATCACTCAGCTCAAAGGCTATGGTAAGTTGGAACTCCATTTCGCTTTTACTACATGTATTCTCCATGTGTTTGATATAAAAAATCTGTAATTGCAAATGAGATATACCAAACTTATTGAAGTATAGATATTTATTACTACTTCAAGCACCATCACGACTTGGGATGATATTTGACCTCAGTTTTTCATTTTTTGAAATTTTGTTTCATTAATGTCTAAATGTTAGAGATGGTGGTTTCTAAGAAAAAAGGTTCAAGTAGGACATACAACTCTTGTTTGGAAAGAGATGAAGTTGGATGTAAATTGTAACCAGTTAACTCTTTTAGTATCGTGTTCACACCATTAACCTATGGACTGCTTTTGTGCAGCTCACCAGGGTACAAAGAGATGTCTCATTTTCCTCTTCTTTTGCACATTGTTTTTGTTAATGATATGATTTATTTTTGAAAAAGTGAGGATTTTTTCATTTTTTGGTTGCAGACAGTAGATGGACAGAAGAAAAAGCTGGAAGAACACAAACAGTTGTTAAATCATCGAAGGTATAGTGGTAACCATTTTGTAACTTTGATTTGCATTAAATTATACTTATTCATCGATGTCCTAATTAATGATTCTCAATTCAAATAGGGAACTAATTGGCAAGTATAAGAACTCTGTTGAAGAGCTTGTCAAGGGTGACCATTAGCCACTTCTCACCCATTCCTCATTGGGTAATGCTTTAACTTATATGTACTGCAAAATATATCCCCTGTTTCCTTTCTGTTTATCTCAATGGTCTGAAATTTTTGGCTTTCTTTTTCTTTTTCATGGTCATCATTCTGCTAAATGGTTCAGTTCTGGGGTTGAATTTGAAAACTGATTTTTAGCAAAGAAATCCAAACATACCAAAACTTCGATTGATTGTACAAATTTTCTGTCTTTAGCAATGGAAAGACCAGATTTTGTGCGTTCACAACATTATATCATATATTGTTTAGTGTCTCCTCATGATGACGTGAAAGAACATATGGATTACTGTCTGTTGTGGATTCTGTCTTATAAATTCTTATGTTCTGAACCATCGTGAGTTGGTCTAGTGGCTAGTGGTCAATAAGGACCAATGTAAATAGTAAATGGTTTAGTAAATGGTTTAGAGGGTATGTTTAAAACCATGGTAGCCACCTACATAGGATTTATCTTATGTTCGGTTAGAAAAGGGCGTTCTCTATTTTGTACCATCCCCTTTCTTATTCCCGTTCGATGTACCCTTTTCTCGTCTAAAAGGGGTTCAAAGCTGCAAACTACTGATCATCCTAGATTGTCTTTATCGATCCATATTTATTGCTCTTGGATTTCTTAGGCGTTACTTGCAATTGCTGCATACATAGTTCACTCTTCGCGAACAGATTTTGCATTTTGGAATGCAAGAAAAAGGAATGTACAATTACATTTATGAGAGATTTTCTTGATAAGGTCGAACACTTGTATATGGTTAGAGTTGACCTCTTGTTTTGAAAACCTCCAATAATTCAACGCCATGGGTGCTCTTTTTCAATTTTGGTTCCAATTCATTTGAATTGAAACTTGCATTTACGAAATGTATCATTTCTGTTCTTTCCCTCAAACTTGTTCCACTGACTGATCTGTTCTACACTATTTCAGGCCTGGCTAGCACAAATCACCTGTTTTGAAGAGATGCAAAAAAGCTATTCACCGAGTCTTGCAATTTCATGGAGGGGCATTTTATGTGTAATCAGGCTCCTGCATTTCCCAACATGATGATTCATCATTCGCAGTTGAATTCAATCTTCTCCACTCTCTTAAGTGCTACCAGACACGACTTTTTCTGGAAATTCAGTTACCTATAATTATCTTGTACAGTTATTCACAGTTAACAGCTAAAATTAATGACAGTGAAAGCTTTCTCCAGTTTATCATTTCTTTAAATGTTAAATTTGGATTGACTATTGATTGGTGCAAGTTTCTTCAAGTTTTTACTTATTTTCATCTTCTTATTTGTTGAATGGTGCATATTCCTTTAAGTTTCATTAATTTAAAGATCTTTCAAAATCTTAAGAGTGAAAATATCGAGTTTTTAAAGGTTAGAACAGATAAAACTTCACTGGTAATCTATGCACCAAAGAAATTCATAAGAATATCACCATCTCTCCTAAATCAATCTGTAATATCATGTTTTCCCTTTCTATTTCTTTGATGTTCATTCATACTGAGAGAGCTTTAGAACATAAGATTTCAGTAATGTTTTTCTTGAACATTCTATTCAATAATACTATCATCAAAATCATGACCTTCTATCTGAAGAGCCAAATCATGAAGAATTTCATCAACTTTCTCTAGACCTTCTATTGAGTTTCCTGCTTTGAACATATAAACCTTCTTCTTCACCTCAATCCAGCTACGCCCAGGAACTATCATTAAGCCCTTCGTCCTGGCCAAGATCCTCACCCTTGCAGAATCCTCCCATCTAGAGCATGCAGCAAATATATTTGAGAGCAACATATGGCTCCCTATGATCTCGGAATTCAGATTGGAAATTTGTAGGGCAGTCTCTTCTGCAATGTCTGTATCTTTGTGCATTCTGCAAGAGTTGAGAAGAGCACTCCAGACATAAGCATTGGGTTGAATTGGCATGCCTTTGACTATGTTACTTGCTTCTTCAATGAGACCAGCACGACCGAGAAGATCGACCATGCACGCATAGTGCTCCATCTGAGGTTTGATCCTGAAGTTTTGTAGCATCTGATCAAAAAGCCAACGGCCTTCAGCAACAAGACCAGCATGACTACAAGCAGATAGCGCAGCAATAAAGGTGACATCATCTGGTATAAATCCAGATTTAATCATCTGATCAAAAGCTGTAAGAGCATCTTTACCAAGTCCATGAAATCCATATCCTGCAATCATTGAGTTCCATGAGATCAAATCTCGATTTTCAAGTTTTTCGAACACTAAACAACCTGGCTTGAAATTTCCACATTTCGTATACATGTTAATCAATCCGTTTCCTACCAATATGTTATCATCCATCAGAGCTCTAATCACGTGACCATGCATTTCCCTACCAAGATTCAGAGCTGCCAGCATTGCACAAACTGAAAAAACACTAGATATCGTCACTGAATTCGCTTTAACATCTGCAAGCTGCATTTGACGAAAAACTTCCAAAGATTCTTCTCCTAGTCCCTTGGAAGCAAATCCACAAATGACAGCACTCCAAGTTATGACGTTCGGTTTCATCTCTGGATAGACATCCATTTTCTCCAGCTGAGAAAACACTTCAAAAGCCTTGTCACATAAACCAGATTCAGCATAGGAGGAAATGAGAGCGTTCCAACTCACAAGATTCTTCACTTCCATCTCATGAAATAACTTCTCTGCATCTCTTATGTCTCCTCCTTTTCCATATACAGTTATAAGTGCGTTTTTGGCGAACAAATAATCTTCAAAACCTCCCTTTATTATATACCCATGAATCATCTGACCCCTATCCAATGTAGCTAAATCAGCACAAACAGATAACACCACAGCAAGCATTTCAGCAGTGGCACCAATACCTTTCATCCTCATCCTGCTAAACAAGGCCATGGTTCCTTCAAGATGACCACACCGAGCATGACTAGACAACAACGAAGTCCAAGTTACAGGGTTCGGTTCAACCCCTTCTGACTCCATTTTAAGGAACATCCTAGAAGCACCATCAACATCATAATTATAGGCAAAACCAGAAACCATAGTGTTCCAAGAAACTACACTTTTAAGGCGCATTTTATCAAACACTTTCTGGGCATCACCCATTCGTCCGAGCTTGGCATACATTCCGATCAATTCATTCACAACATGCAAATGATTTTGGAATCCAAATTGCACAACATGGCAATGAAGATTCTTACACAAGTTGAAACTACCCAAGTTGGAAGAAGCCCTCAGAACCAGAGGAAAAGTAAACCCATCCCCCAAAACCCCTAATCTTCTCATTTTCCCATAAAGTTGAAGCACTTCTCCGCAGTACCCATGGGAGACATTTGCTCTTATAATCGAATTCCATAAGAGCAAGTTCGACAAGCCTTCAAATGGCGCAGTATCAAACACTTTCCGGGCATCGAAAACAAGCCCAGAACGGGCGTAGACGGATACAAGCCGGGCGGCGACGAACGCCGAGCAACACGCGCCGGTGACAACGGTTGCAGAATGAACTTGTTTGCAATGTTGAGTCCCGCTACATTGCCGAAGAAGATGATCAAAGGAATCAAGGAGCTCGTCATACGTGATTGAGAAGAGATGGGATTTGAAATAGAACCGAAAATGAAAGGGGAAATTGATTGAGGATTGGGGAAAACAAAAGGAAGCTGATTTGAATCGCTGATAAGAAGAAGCATACAGCATGAATTGAAAATGCGCAAGATTTGGGGTCTGTCATTCAAGTTTCGAAGGGTTTAGGGTTTTGCTTTGAAACTATACAAATTCGACATTGGCGCGCGCTTGATTGTCGGCATTGTTATAATTTCGTGAATAAAGAAGAAAAACGACATGTCGGATAAACGCACAATTTTAAGATTAGAAAGGTTCTATCATAGTAATCATGTTGGATTTTCAATATTGAACTAATTACTTCGATTATTGATGATTACGGTGGTAGACACGTCATCTTCAATAAAATATATGAACGTTTTTTCCATTGGAACTTTGATGTTTTTCTTGTAAATTTCAAGTTTGATGAATATAAAACTTGGCTGTGTTTTTTTTTTTTTGAAACAAAAACTTGAATGTGTTAAAGTTAGGCACATATTAGCTTTGATAAATTTTTTCATGCCATCTGAGGACGTTGTTATGAGAAAATTCAATTTAAATTTAGAGAGTTGGGAGAAGAAAAAAAAATTGTCCTATCTCTCAAATCTTGGATGCCACGCTCCATATGTTTGCAGAGTAAAACGAAAGAGATAATATTCAAGAGTAAAAGATTAGACCATTGACTTTTATTATGGTAATAATTAAATGTCTTATATACTTAAACTATGCTTTTGATTGACTTGGTTTCTAAGGTGTGACACAACACAAAACATTTATTAAAATGGATAAGAAGGGGCAACAACAAAAAATGTGAAAGTATTGCATAACAATAAATCAAGGAAAAAAAAAACCAATCTAAGTTTCCTAGCCTAACAATTGATGAGATTTGTCATGCCCATCCAAAGAAGTAGGAGCGACCGCAACTATCCCATAAAAAACCCCACAAAATCATATCCCAAATCAAATATGAATGGTGTTCCTTCAACCGTTTTTCTATTAAATATATCCTAAAGAATCTAGGCTCATTTGATAATTCTTCAAACATTCAATAAAAACTTGACAAGTTTGTCTCATCACATGTCTACTTTATGAATTTGATTGTAAAGATATTGATTATCAACGACATAAAAAGTATGGTGGACGGATATATGATAAGAAGACCAGTCAAGTTTGATTTCAAATCTTCACAAGCATCTGAATTGACCACGGGAATGCAAAACTCTTTCAATTCTTTAGTTTTCTTACATGTATCTCGGACAAAATCATTCGACACCTTTGTCTTTGGATCTATAATATTGACTACGACCGAACAAACAAATAAAATTACAAAAACAAGAATAGGGGATAGATCCTGAAAACATAAGGAGATAAAATTAGGGTTTGATTTATTAAAAAAAATTTGAACTTGGAATACAATATGATGCTTATATAGGTCATTAACCCTAAATATGAAAAGACAAATCTACCCTCAAAGACAAATAATAATAATGACAAAAATATTTATGCTAACATTTCCCCGAAACTCACGATGCTACAGCAATGAGCATTGAGAGTTTGTCAGATAAATAACGAAAGTGCGAAGCGGAGTGTGCCTTGGTAAACATATCAGCAATTTGTAGATCACCAACCCAATCAGCATCAGAGTAAGCACACAACTCTAAAGAGAACGTGGAGGGGAGCAARAGGCTTTAAAATTGAGTGCCTCGAAGGCATCTGAGAATACGAAGAACAGCAAGACCAATGAAATGTAGTAGGAGCAGTGACAAACTGACTAACCACATGAACCGCATGTGCAATGTCTGGACGAGTCACAATTAGATAGACCAAGCTACCAACAATAGTACGATACAAACTGGAATCTAACAAAGGAACACCATCCGACGAAGAATATCGGGCATTGGACTCTAGAGGAGTATTAACAGTCTTGTTGTCAGTGATACGCGCACGATCAAACAAATAAGCTATATACTTCGATTGAGATGAGAGATAACTTTTTGGAGAATAAGCAACCTCAATACCAAGAAAGTAATGTAACATGCTCAAGTCTTTCATAACAAAACAACAAGAGGGATCAGACTTTAAAGATTCTATTTCATCACAATCATCACCAGTAATAATCATGTCATCAACATACAATGACAAGAGGTTGGCAGATTCCCTCGGAAAACTTGTTCTTCTACTGTACGAAAAGCATGGCGGGGTATATAAATGTTGTATATATTTATATAGATGACATTTTCTTATGATCCATTTGATACCTTTTCCGTTTCTCGTTTCCAATTTTCTTAACAAATCTAGATATTTTGCAACTAACCAATGTTTCTTGTTTCCCATTTTTTAGGAACATTCTCAAAATTATATAGAAATTCTGGAAACCATCGTAACAAGTTTTTTCTTTCTTATTCACATTTCCAATTTGTTCCAAAACATAAATAAAAATATTGTTTTTATCATACTTGAATTCATATATATATATATATATATAATATATATATATATATATATATATATATATATATATATATATATATATATTTGACTATTTGAATACAAAAGTAAAATATTCTTATTATAAACAATAATCTTTTTATTAAAAATGTATTTAATATCCAAATCTATTAACTATTAAATGGATTCTGAACAACTAGAAAGATAAAACATATAAATTGATATTTAATAAACAAAAAAAAGTTCCAAACAAATTAATAATTGGATAAAATATCTTCGCATTATTGATTAAAGTTGACATTAATCATGCTCTAAAAATTGAGCATGACAAATATAGACCGTTTTCTTTAGTTATAATCATATTAGAATGTATTATAGGAATCGAGCRTTCAGGATCTTTTACTAATAGATCGTGTAATATATAATCGTGGTCTAAATCAAAATTTGTAGTAGTGTATCTTGAAATTATATCAAATAATATATACAAATTATACCCATTACCAGTGGCGGATGCAGAAATTTTGTTGGGGGCGCTCGATATTGAGCAACTATTTGTTATTATACCAAGATTTGTCCATAAATTTTTCTAAATTAATTATATAAAATATCTATCCAAACTACTCTTACTTTTTATTTATCGAGATGATAACCCATCAATAACATCTCTATTTAGATTTCAAATTAAATCTACAATAACATTAGTAAAAATTAAAACATAATATAATAATAATTATAGATACAAAATTAGAAAATTTATCTTTTATCTTTGTGTTTTCATTTTTAAAATTGAAATAATTTATGATTTTCTTCCTCTTCACCACTCACGAAAATTTGAATAGGGAAAATAATATAGGAAAATCATGAATAAAAAAAAATTAGATAAACATTTACGGAAAAAAAAACGGTCAGTACGGCTCGAGTCCCTTCTGGGACCAACGTGCATCCGCCCCTACCCATTAGTGTTCATGCAAATTAACATAGAAGATTAAGTTTAATTTTGACATAAGGGATCAAAGTGATGAATTAATTTTGTTGTTTTTTTTAGTACAACATATTGGAGAGGGATTCGAACTCACAACCTGTTAGTTTGAGATATATGTCAATTACCGTCGCTGAGCTATGTTCGTTTTGACGATGAATTAATGTTGTTTGAGACACGCCTACAACAAAAATGAAGAAATGGTAAGAGGTTTCGATTTATTGGTGTTCTCGGCATAGTCATCAACCAAACCCTCCTCGTTGTCTTCAAATAATCATTGATTCATATCCTTAATTACAATTAAATTCCAAATGGACAGTCTTTGTGGTGCTTATCAAAGAAGCAAATTAATCACAACCAATTACAACCAAATCGAAATATCCGATTATGATCTTTGGTTCTAGTTCTTCAAGGAGTGTGACATATATATGGAAGCAGAGACTTCATTTTTTGAGATGGGCTCACCGTATTCCAAGACAGTAACATATATGTATGAGCTTCGGGCATTACCAGAAACTAAGCTGCTTCACCTTTCCAAAATCGTAATACAACAATATGATCGGAGATATAGTTAAGCAAGTATCAAGTGACGGTGTCTCTCGGACGAATATGGAGGAGCTACTCTATTAGATATCTAATATATTATGAATTAAATTTATCCGATCCATTAGCTTAAACTTTTAGGTTGAGTAGTAGTTTATTCATTCTTATGATAGTATCAAAGCGAGAAGTCGTGTATTCGAACTCTTGCATTGCCGTTTCCTCCCCATTTATTATGATTTCTACTTGTTGGGTTAATGATGTAGTTGAACTAAGAGGGTGGATGGAATGGTCAGGGACAACGATAAGCCTGCTGTTTTATGTCGAATACAACAAAATGGGTTTGGGAGTTGACAGTTCTCAACAAGTAAAATAGCTCGGTTACTACATGTTGCACAACGAAGATGAAACCTCAAGATTTACTACTGAAAACTTCATTTATGGATTTGTATGACTAAACTTCATTTATGGATTTGTATGACTACCATAAATTGGTATACCTTTTAGAACTGGTTTGCATGCAGAGTACTAGCTGACTAATTGTGCTGGCCTAGCTAGGCTTATTATGTGGTCATTTATATAAAACATTATGTTAGAAAGTATAATTTGAGCACTATTATTCTTTACTTTTTTGGTTTAAGTATTAATTAATATTACTGTTTTATTATATTAAAAATGAATAGATAGAAAAGTTAAAAGATGAACATATATAAAAGAGACTCTAATTTCAACATGTACTTTAAATACAACTATATTGTCAAAGGCGATACATAGTTGAAAAGCGAATCAATTTTAAAAAATAAATTAGACGAAATTGAACTGAGTAAAAAAATAGAGAAAATGAAAACAAAATTAAAAATGAATGAAAAAAGATGAATAAATCTTTACGTAGGACTAAGTTGTTCAATAACTGTTTCAAGACTAAACAATTTGATAATAACACGAACTTTACATAATTTTTTAGACAATTTCTCATTTCCCGCCTTGATTTCCCATGTTTTTATTTAATTTCTAGTTAATATTACCAAATTCATTCATGGTACCAAATGACCTATTGTTTAATATACTATTAGAAGGGTAATATTTTCTTTTTTAAATTAATTAGAAGGGTAATAGTAATACTTTAATAAATAAAAGGATATTATAATATAATATGGATCAAGTGCTCTTCAAATTTGTAATTATCTAATCATTAATCACTTAAATATTCTTTAAGGTATATATTCTTTGTAGTGCTTATCAAATAAGCAAAATATTCCTTAAGGCATATATATATGAGAAGGTAACTATAAAAGAATATATAATATTTAATACACATTTGAATATGAATTTGGAGAGACATCACTAATTATTGCTAACTACTTGAACACTTTTAGAAGAGGGAAGTCTGCGACATCTCTATTTCTTTTAAAGAATTATAGTTAAATTGAACTAGAAATATAATGTAATATTATTTAAAAGAAAGGAATATTTCTCAAAATTTAGTATATTACCGTCGATTTTTAAAATATGGTAATTGTTCCCAACTTTATTTCTTCCATATATTTAGAAGTAATTTCATTTGTTTGGAAAGATTAAGATGTGAAAAAATGATAGGTACAAAAAAAGAGTGATTTTTAGTGTATATATAGATGTCAAGGTCGAGAAATGGTGCCACACAACAGAAAACTCAAAACTCTTATTAATTAAAACGGAATAGAAAATGCAACAACTAAAAATGTAAATTATTGCATATAATAGCAAACCAATTTAAAGTTCATAACAAGGCAGGGTAGCCTAACACGGTTGACCAATATGACCACATTTAATGAGATTTGTCATGTCCTGTTTGGGGAAGAGAATACCCTGGACACGTGGAGGACCCCTATTGGTGCTCCAAGATGACTCATGAGTCATGCCCAGCTCGGACCGCCGAGATCACCACCACTAGCGTTGACAGATGCTAAGTATGAGGGCCGAGGTGAACCTGGCCGAGGTCCGACCTACCGGGAAGCTCGGTAGGGGCCGATGTGAGCTACTGTCAGCGGCGTGATTATCGGGTGTAACCGTCGGTCCCGAGATTACCGGGTGTAACCGCCGCGAGATTAGCGGGACTACCACCCATAAGTAGAGGACCTCACTCCACGATCAGGTACGATGATTTTCTGACCTCGAACTAAAC